AGTCCTTCCTTGCCCTGAATCCTGCTCTAAGGCAGTCACCTAATTGCTTGAGTTCTTCTAGTTGGCCTTGCCCCAAATATGATGCAAATGGACACTTTTAGGAATGGCTCTGTCACTTCACATACTATTTTTGAGATGCAAGCAGATCTCAGATTCCTTTGATTGGGGAGTGGCATTCCTTGTAGGCAAACACCACACTTTAATCATTGACCAGTTGATATACCTCTGAGGGACTTCCTTTTTTTGACCAATTCTAATATAGCTCTTAAGGACATATTCACAAATTATTTATATGGACCCATGCTGTTATTTCTGTTGAGGAAAGACCTGAGAGTAGAATTGCTGAGTCACATAGCAAGTGTGTGTGGAACTTTTAAGGGAAATATCAAACTCCTCTCCAAAATGACTCTGTCACTTTGCATCTCTACCAGCCATTTATGAGGGTATCAGTTGCTCCATATCCTCTTCAACACTTGGTCTGATGGTCTTAGATCAAATTGTATTTAAAGGACCTGTTGGGGGATCTCATTGCAGATGTTTGTTTTGACTTTTAGACTCTGCTTCCATCTCCCATTCCCCACCCCTCATCTCTATATATGTATAAGGTATGATACATACAAACACATACACAGATACACTCATGAAACTCTTCTTCATTTCACATTATTACTATTATCTTGGTCATTGTCAAAGCCAAGGCCTGTGTAAGATGGTGCCATAAATGGCAGAGCCCCTGGGGACCTTCACCCTAGCAGACTCCAGATTAGGAAGAAGCACTTGTTGTCCAGTCGACACAAAGGAGTTTATAAAAGGACTGAGCTGGGAGGAGGCCCAAGACCATCTATGAATTAGATCAGGAGACTCAGGGCAGAGAATTGCTGAGTCATATGGCAAGTGTGTGTGGAACCTTTAAGGGAAATATCAAACTCCTCTCCAAAATGACTCTGTCACTTTGCATCTCTACCAGCCATTTATGAGGGTATCAGTTGCTCCATATCCTCTTAAACAGTTGGTCTGATGGTCTTAGATCAAATTGTATTTAAACCACGTGTTGGGGATCTCATTGCAGATGTTTGTTTTGACTTTTAGACTCAGCTTCCATCTTCCATTCTCTCTCTCTCTCTCTCTCTCTCTCTCTCTCTCTCTCTCTCACCTCTATAGATGTATAAGGTATAATATATACAAACCCATACATAGAGACTCCTGAGACTCTTATTTATTTCACATTATTACTATTATCTTGGTTATTGTCACAGCCAAGGCCTCTGTAAGATGGTGCCATAAATGGTGGAGCACATGGGTCCCTTTACCCTAGCAGACTCCAGATTAGGAAGGAGCACTATGTTGTCCAGTCCACACAAAGGAACATATAATAGTACTTAACTAGGAGGAGGCCCAAGCTCATCTATGAATTAGATCAGGAGAATAAGAGCAGAGAAAGTATCTGCCCAGGCAGGAGTGGGGCGATGGCTTGGAGCAGAGGACACTGGAAGGGGAACTGAATCCACAACAGCCTTGCTGATTGGGTGGAGGTCAGGGAGAAGCAGTGCTCTCAGAATGCTGGCTACTCACATCTGGATAAAGCTGATTGCTCCCCAAAGTGGCTGAGAAGGACACAACACTGGGCTGTGAGAGCCTATGGTGGGAGGGGGAAGCTAGCCAAGAATGGTTTACAGGGGAAACTCTAGGCTGCCTGAAGTTGAGCCTCACACCCCTTCATCAGGGAATTCAGGTTGAGCAGGTCTCCTAACCCACACTGACTTCCATTCACCCATGAAGGGCTCAGGCTTTTTCAGAATCTCCCAGAGGTACCTATCCCTGGGAGTTCCGTGGACCAGCAGGCACTCATTTCACATCTTTCCAGTGGATTTGTGACTATAAACTGGACCTAGGTCATGTGTTTTGGGGTATCTACAGAAATGTCTTCACAAAGACTGGTCAGAATGAGAAAGGAGAGGCCCTCAGAGGCTCTCAGAACATGGTCTATAAGAGATTAGGAACTACTGAAGGGCACCCAGTCAGCTATGAAGGTCACAGTCACACCTCCCTGCCACTGTGCAAGCAGTTCCCCTCACTCCAGCAAGGTCACCTGTATTTCTCCATCTCTGGAAATCTTCATTCTGCCCCCTCAGAGAAGCCCCCCAGGTTCCTCCAGTTACATCCAGCTCTCTGCTCCCTCCTCTCCTTCCCAACACCCTCATGGGCCTGTGACTGCAAGGACAGGGAATAAGTGACTCCATGTGTGAGGAGATGGGTCCTCGGATCTTAGAAGGCTGCAGAGACTGTGTTACACCTTGGGAGGTGCCCAAGGGAAGAAGAAGGGTAGGGCCCTGCCCGCTGCACACTGGCTCCGTGATCTCTGAGATTTCAGAGTGACTCTCCTGCAGCATGCACCTTGCAGGGCACCACCCATTTCCCCCCCTCCTCACTGTCAGGTACAAATTCCCCCTGGGCAGAATGCTGCTCTGCATTTCCAGGTGAAGCCCTGGGAATACAGAAGCAGCCCTGGGAGCCGACCATGTGCCTGCATCGACTTCCTGCCTGGCTCATCCTCGTGGCCTATGGGCTCCTGATGCTCCTCATCCAGGGCCAGGGTGAGGCTGCCATAGGGAGGGTGGTAGACACCAGGTTGGATCTGCCAAAGTGCACAGAGACAGAGCCTGAGCCTGGAGGGAAGGCACCAGGGTGGGGGAGTTGGTAGAGGGGACAGATGAAGGGGATGAGGGGCAGGAGGGTGAGCCAGAGAGGGTCAGAGCTGCCTGAGGACACCCCCATGGAGGAGTGAGCTAGTGTGAGGGGATTCTGAGGAGAAGAGTATGGGCAAGGGAGAAGCCTCCTGGCAAAGGAACAGGGATAGGGTCCTTTCCCTCCTGTGTGTGTCTGTGGCTATAGCTACTACTCACCCTTGGATAATAATAACAGCAATATAAGAGCTTGCTGGTTACATTTGGCTCTGAGTGTTTTGACCCCTTAGCTAGAGAAGTGTTGGCACCTTTTGTCGAAGTCGACAGACAAGGTTAATGGCCCTGGGGGATACAGAAGCCCCTGGTACCACTTCTCAAAGCTGATCTGAATGACTGGTGAGTTCCCTTCACTCGTGAAGCCGAGCTGGCATGGCTTGGATTGAATTCTAGACAAGGGTGATGTGCTCTGTACGTGCTAGAAGTCTCTAGGCCCTTATCAGAAGGTGTTGGCAGGAGAGTACCATGCCCAGGGAGTGTCAGCAGCCCTGGATCCCTCTCACCCCAAAGGCTCCTAGTGTGAGCATTGGACATAGACCCAACTTTCCCAGTCTAATCTGCACAGAGGAATCCAGGCTGGCCTGTCCCCTTGTACCACCACTGACAGGCTTCCTCCCTTACCAGGGTCTTTCTCAGAACTTTCTCATCGGGAAGATTTTTCTAGCTTCACAAAGATTCTGTTTTCAACAGTCTTTTTTCTTGAACTCACATCCAAAAATTAAAAAAACAAAAAACTCAGTCCTGAGAGGGTATAGAATTGAGTCCCACAGTCTTCTGCCCACCCAGTCCTGGCTCCTCCACAGGCCCATCTAGGTCTTAAATAGGGTCCAGGTCTTACACACTACTCATCTTTGTCTCTCATCTAAATGGTCACAAACCCATCTTTTCTGGTGTAACATTGTCCTCATCTGGACACGAGGACACTTCCCACCACTACATACATACATGGGTGAGATTTCTCCTGCTGTTTCATGCAGGGCTTCTCCTCAAGGAAGCAGCAACATTATGTCATCAGACTGTGAGCAGGAATATTTAGCAGGCTTTGTCCTTTGTAATTACAAATATCAGGCATTAGGGGCCAGTTACCACATGAGTTACATGGACCAAGATCCCTCTGGCATGGCATTGTGTGGAGACAGCATGTTAGTAGGGACAGGAGTGTGTCTTTGGACTTGGAGGGATACTGGCCAATTTCCTTCTCTGGTCCTGTGAGTGGATGCTGCCCTGGCCTGTCCTGTACCAGGTAGCATCAAACATGCAGATCTTAGGGGGATCTAGTGGGAGAGAGGAGGAGGTTTGGAGTTTTTAATGTTTTCTTATGAAAACCAGCTCAGATCTACCAAACTCTAGAGTGAGATCTTGAGCCTGGGGAAGGGAAGGCTCCAGTGATGTGGGAGCTGTGGAGATGTGAACAATAGCGGGAGAACTGTGGACCTGACTGCCAATTCTCTGCACCCTGAAACACAGAGAGGACTGGGACAGCCTGAGGGCTACACAGCACCCAATATAGGCCCATTCTGGGGTAGAGAGAAAGAGTTAGAACCAAGGTGCCCAACATCAATCTTTAACAATTATCGTGTATTGGACAAGGTAGATATATCTAATTGACTTTCCATTGCCTCCTTACTCTGAATCCCAGCCCCAGGCAGGACAAGAGTTTTATGATATGAACTCATAGCTCCCCTCCTACCATCCATTTCTACTTATATGAATGATGCTTCTTTAGTCATTTCTTGTCCCCTCAAGCATGAGATCCTTGAGGATGAGAAACTTAGATCAATTCCCACAGTCCTCCTAGTGCGTGACATGACCTGGCACAGTGAGTGCAATGGACACTCTTGACCCATCAGCCCAAAAGACATTCTGCTGGCATGAATGGAATGAATGGAACCTGGAACTAAGTGGGGAATGACTTGAAAGAAGGATCATGTGAGGCCAGGCATCAGTGAAAGCAGGGAGTGAGATTGTCTGGGATGGAGTCAGGACCTGAGGTCTGAATTGACCACTGCTCAGCCCCTGTAGTAACTGTATTCCATTGTCCCCAGGTGTCTGCAAAATGCAGATGCAATGAATCTAGGGCTGAAAGATCGTGACCTGGTCGAATGATAGTGGTGGTGCGCATAGGGACAGGGATGGGCAGAAAGTTTCTGAAGGGAATGTTGACAGATCAGGGTCCCTCCACAAGGTGGAGCTGATGAGGGCCAATACCTGATTGAGCAGACCCAAACCGGACATGCATCTCTCTGCCCACAGCTCAAGACTCAGTCAGCCCCATCCGGACCACCCACACCGGGCAGGTGCGGGGCAGTCTCATCCATGTGAAGGGCTTCGATGCAGGGGTCCACACCTTCCTGGAAATTCCCTTTGCCAAGCCACCTCTAGGACCACTGCGCTTTGCAGCCCCTGAGCCCCCTGAAGCTTGGAGTGGTGTGAGGGATGGGACCTCCCACCCGGCCATGTAAGCTTATCTGGGATCTGGGAAACCTCAAGGCTGGGGTGGGGATGGGAATCTGAGCCCTGGGCCAGGCTGCAGTGGCTCCTTCATCTACACTGCACTGCAAGGCCTGAGGCGGTAGGTCAGTGGTCTTTAGCAACCTAATACACCAGCTTTGAAACCCAGGCCCTAAGTAAACAAATATATAGAAATATATCCCTCTGCATTGGGGCAATTCCCACATTCATTTTTCCAATGCAGGAGTAACTTTGCCAGGCTCCTGCCTCAGGGTGTGTAACCCAACAGGCATTAGCTTCAGGTGCTAAACACAAAAGCAGAAACACATGTCCCTGGATTTGGCTTACTCCAGGTGTTCTCTCACACCAGGGGAGATGTGTCTGGGAGAGGGTTGGCTTGGCTCTCTGAACCTATAAAAGACCTTGACTCTAGCAGTTGATGGTACATTCTCTGAGGAGGGCAACAGTGGTGGCTCCTTGGGGACCCCACCCACAGGGCCAAGGGAAAGGGGCATGTGCTTACAGCTTAAGACTCAGTGGAGGGGTGAGGTTTTCTGAGAGCCTCAAGTTGGACTGTGGGATGCCCCATTACCCTTCTATGAGAACTAACCTCCATCCACTCAGGCACCAGCTGTGTGGGGACACCCATGCTGTTCCAGGCCTGAATGGGGACAGGGATAAGAGGACTGTCAACACAGGCAGCCATTGTTTCCCAGTCAGGGCCCTAGAGTCAGGATTGCCCAGCCTCAGAAGGAGGTGGAATCAAGTGCTCAACAATCTTGAGGCCTTCCTGGAGGTTTGGGCTCCATCCCAGCTTCCCCAGAGCCTGTGGCCTGGAACTAAGTGGGGAATGACTTGAAAGAAGGATCATGTGAGGCAAGGCATCAGTTAAGGCAGGGAGTTGTCTGGGATGGAGTCAGGACCTGAGGTCTGAATTGACCACTGCTCAGCCTCTGAAATAACTGTATTCCATTGTCACCAGGTGTCTGCAAAATGCAGATGCAATGAATACAGAGGCTCTCGACCTACAGAGTAAAAACTTGGCTCCCAGCCCCATGTCAGAGGACTGCCTGTACCTCAGCATCTATGCGCCTGTGCATGCCCGTCAGGGATCTAACCTGCCTGTATTAAGCCATGGTCAGTTGAAGGGTGGGAGAACAATTTTGGGGAAGATGATTAGAAGCGGGATTGGAACATGGTTCAAGGTAGAGAGCTAGCACAATGCTGTGAAGGCCCGAATGAACCCAGGAACTACATAATAAACCACCGACACTGGAAGTCACAGGTTCAGCTGGCCACCACTGTGGTGTGAACTACCATGAAAAGTTTCTCACTATCAGCTCCAAGAAGGCCTCTTATGCAGGCAGGTAGCTGACCCAGCCATGGAGTCAAAGAACCCTGGATGCTCTCAGAGACCAAATATTCTGACCCACTGATGAACTCATCATCTTGTACCCAGGAGATCCATTCAAGTGCCCAAAGGGTGCATTTGAGATCACTAAATTCCATGACCATGGATTATTTTGGGGGCCAGATATTAGATGACACTTTAAACTAATGTTCAAGTGGGGTAATCACAGAAACATCAATTTTCTTTCTTTTTTCAGAGTAGTTCTAAGAGGAATACGTCGAAGTTCTGATTCATAATTAGACCCCAAAGTATGAGAGGCCTGATCTTCCAAATTGAACTTACTCTGTCACCAGTGCCCTAGGTCATGAAGTCCTACTAGGATTCTAAGTGGGTAGCTACACAAGCCAAAGTGGTGTTCAGACTAGGGGTTCAGCCAAGACAGGATTGGATATGGTAACTACCACATGGTATATCTCCTAATTTCCCAGGTGATGGTCTGGATCCATGGTGGTGCCTTGGTGACGGGCTCAGCTTCCATGTGTGATGGTTCTGTTCTGGCAGCCATTGAAAATGTACTGGTGGTCACTATTCGGTACCGCCTGGGAGTTCTGGGCTTCTTCAGGTGAGCCTGGGTCAGGGATGGTCAATAAGTAGACAGAGGACTACTGTCTGAGTAGACAGAAGACCATCTATTGATCATCATCCTTTCCATTTCTCAGCACTGGAGACGAGCATGCTACTGGCAACTGGGGTTACCTGGACCAAGTGGCTGCCCTACGCTGAGTCCAACAGAATATCGCCCACTTTGGAGGCAACCCTGATTGGGTCACCATTTTTGGTGAGTCTGCAGGTGGCGCTAGTGTGTCCTCACATGTGTTGTCTCCAATGTCCCAAGGACTCTTCCGTGGTGCCATCATGGAGAGTGGGGTAGCCCTGCTGCCTGACCTCATCACCAGCTCATCTAAAGATGTCTCCACAGTGAGTATCCTTTTCTACCCAAGGCCAAATCTGCTGCCTCACCCTTCAACTTCAGAGCCTCTGCCACTCTGTCTGTTCCATGGGAACAAAGACCATGCAGGTGTTTCCAGAACTGGCCACCACTCCAGGGTTTCTGAGGAGCTCAAAGGTCAGAATCCACATACCTCTGGTTGATTTTGTTCTATGTTATGCAAAGCTGCACCCTTGGGGGCTTATCCTCAGAAGACCCATGTAAGCAGGTATGATGGCTCCTCTGGCTGACACATGAGCTTGAGGGAAGGAAGAATTTCACACCTGCAGCAATACACACATGGCACCCTTTGAGAATTATGGGTAACCTGCACACAGCTGAGACATTAGGCAGCAACCCCCTCCCTGTCTGGAGAGATGATTCAGCCTCTTTTTGGTGCTTTTACAGATGGTGGCCAACCTGTCTGCCTGTGGGCAAGTAGATTCAGAGGCCCTGGTGAGCTGCCTGCCAGGCAAGAGTGAACAGGAAATGCTGGCTATTACCAAGGTAGGGCTGAATGGACGTTAGTGAGGAGACAGGGGTTATGGTATGAGGGAAATACAGTCCTTTCCACTGTGGAACAACTATTTCATTTCCAAAGCTTGGTCTCCTCATATTCTCATAGCCCTGGATGGGAAATTGAGACAAAAATATGCTACACCAAGTTTAGAATCTTTGAATGTTAGTGTGAGCATCATTGGTTGAGTTAGGATGGGTTGGAGGTAACTCAGGTGTCATTAGAACAGAGACTTTCCTTCCTGTCATCATGTACCTTGAATGCCCACTTAGACTTTCACTGTCATTCCTGCTGTGGTGGATGGGGCCTTCCTACCAAGGCACCCCCAGGAGCTTCTGGCCTCTGCTGATTTTCAACCTGTTCCAAGCATCATTGGTGTCAACAATGATGAGTATGGCTGGCTCCTTCCCATGGTGAGTCCCATCTCCAAACCTTCTGGAATGTGTCAGGTGGGAGCAGCTCAAGTCTTGAGAACTCCTGGTCCATCCCACCCCCAACTCTAGACTCTCCTTTCATCACACAGGTCGCGGGCCCCCCTGAAATCCAAAAAGAAATAGACAGAGAGACCACATGAGCTGTTCTACAGAGAACAGTAGCACAGATGGTAAGATTCCTGGGGTCCTGTGCCAAGCAAGAGTGCAGCCAGACAACTTCCTTTTCAATGATCCCTAGGAACAAAGATTGATCTATGTGCATTTGTGAGTGGGGTCACCCCACAGCTTCACAGCTTTGCCCTATTCCCTGACACATCCCATATCCCATCTCCAACATAAAGTGGCTGCCTCCCCATCCCAGAAACTTCTTAACCTGAGTCTCCCTGATCACCTGGACTAGATGATGTTACCTGCCGAATGTGCTGACCTATTAATGGAGGAGTACATGGGAGACAACGAGGACCCCCACACCCTCCAACTCCAGTTCCAGGAGATGATGGCAGACTTCTTTTTTGTGATGCCTGCACTCCAAGTAGCACATTATCAGAGTGAGTGTATCTGAACCTGAATCCTGGCTTCCTAGGAGACAGCTCAGAGATATGGGTCCCAGGTGAGGTCTGGTGTCAGGTCCTGACACATGTCTTTATCCAGACCCTGGTCCCAGGCACCTAAAGGCCCTCATCTCAGTAAATTCTTATGGCTAGAGTAAGAGATAGACATCACACTCATTTTAGAGAAGAGGGGACTAAGGTAGTGGCACTCAAGGACTTGCCTGTGACCACACAGCCAGGAAGTCCAAGATATGAATTAACAAAGAGCCTTCCAACTGCCCCTGATCCATTCTGGGCTTCCCAGCCACTGTGAAGATTCAAGCCAGAGTTGGACCTAGCAATCTTGTCACCAAGAGTGACACATCGTGTCCACCCTCCAGGTTCCCATGCTCCTGTCTACTTCTATGAGTTCCAGCATCGGCCCAGCATCTTCAAGAATATCAAGCCACCACATGTGAAGGCTGACCATGGTGATGAAATCATGTTTGTGCTTGGATCCTACATCAATGGCATCAGAGGTGAGCACTCCTTGTTCCACAGGAGCATTCTTCTGCGTACATGGTGGCAATTGCTCTCATTGTACACTGAGAAACTGTAACTTAAAGAGAACATGGGATCCAGTGTCTACCATCTTACAACTCAACAGGTTTTCCAGGGTTAGACCTTTCCCACTCCAATCTATGCTCCTTCCCCCTGTTCCCACCCCAACCATGGTGTCTAGTATAGGAAAAGAGGGTGGTGATTAAAGGCATAATCATTTCTTAAATGACTTCACAGTGTCCAAAAAAAAGGAAACTTCTAGGCCAAGGAGGAGCCCAGTGTTAATTCAGTTAAAGGCTGGGAGGAGTAAAGGCAGGTTGGGCAAGCAGAGGGCCTGGCCCTGGGACTGTTGTGATAGGGAAGGGACACAAGACTGGGGAGGGGTGTTGAGTGTGGCACAGGAATGGACAGCTGGATGAGGTTGGCCAGAACCTGGACCCTTGCCTTCCTCCTCCCACAGGTGAGCTCACTAAGGAGGAGGAGCTGCTGAACAGAAGGATGATGAAGTACTGGGCCAACTTTGCTCGAAATGGGTGAGGACACCTGCACATCTCAGCCTCCCAGGGGACACGGGCCCTCTAGCTCCCCTTGTCTGAGGTGACCCCATTAGCAAATGTGTGTCCTTAATCACATCCTAGCTCCCTCCCCAACCAGAAGACCCACACTAAAAGAGGGTGCTTTGTAGGTGCAAGTTACTGGTCTCTTCACATAGTGGTCCAGAGGGTGAGCCATAGTGCTGGGCTACCATGAAAGCCAGCCTCTCACAGGAAAGGGCAACACAGGCCATATTACTCTGCCCTGTGTGGAATGACAGTAGTGAGAGGTCATTGCTTTCCTACATCAGGACACCTCTCCCCAGTCTCAACACCCCAGTCTGCCTGGCTGGCTGCCCTGTCCATAATTGGGCTGGGAGGTCAGGTCTGAGTTCAACAGAGCTCAGACTGACCCTCATCCTTCCCTGCTGGGAGGGCATGTGCACAGGAACCCCAACGGAGAGGGCCTACCCCACTGGCCACTGTTGGACAAGGACCAGCAGTACCTGCAGCTGGACATCCAGCCTGCTGTGGGCCAGGCCCTGAAGGCACACAGACTGCAGTTCTGGACCAAGACCCTGCCTCAGAAGATCCAGGAGCTAAAGGGAGCAGTGGACAAGCACAGAGAGTTCTAGCTCCCTTGTCAGGGAGAGAGGGGTGTGCTAGGTGTGATGAGGTCTTCCTGTGGTGCCCACACATGCCCACCCAAGAACCAGGGTTGACCGAATCATTCACATAGCTATTCGTCCTTACACTCCTCCATGGGTCCTCTCTTGTTAGACACACTCAGTAATTCCCAATGCATGCCCACCTTCCTCCTCACCCCACTTTGCCTGAGTCCCTCGCTTCCTTCCTCCCCTCTCCTTCCCTACAACCCCTTCTATTCCCTCCTCCCAGTTGCCACACCCTCCCATGCTGACAAAGAAGTTTGAGGAAGCAGAGCTGGTACTTTTCTGAACCCCTTGCCCATCTATCTGCAAGTACCCCATGTTCTCATACCGGTGGGACCTCTATAGAAAACCTGGACACCACAAGCCCCACTGTTTTACTCCATCAGGCTGCTGTAACAACAACAACAACAACTACAATAATAATCTAGTGAGGCACGGTGGTACATGGCCATAACCCAAGCCATTCAGGAGGCTGAGGGAGAAGAATTACATATTCAGTCTAGGCTGGCCACTTGAGGAAACCTGAGCTCAAAATAAAACAACAAGTCCTAGCAGAGCAGCTCAGTGGTAGAGTACTTTCCAAGCATGCACAAGGTCCTGCATTTGATCACAGTGCTACCACCAAAATATAAACAAATAAACTCAATAAACTGGGTAGCTCATAAACAATGCAAATGTGTTGTCTTCTGTGTTGAAGGTGACAAGTCCAGAATCAAGTGTTAGCAGATTTGTTGTCTGGGGAGGTCTTGCTTTGGTTTCCAGATGGCACCTTCCCACTATGTCCTCACCTGGCAGAAGGGGCAAACAAGTTCTCTTGAAACCATTTTACAGTCCTAAACCCAGTCCACTCCCAGTGATTCATCACTTTCAGACTGGTTTGCTTTCTTTCTTTTCAATCAAAGCCCAGGTAGTAGTAGACTGATTTTATTAGTTATGCATTGTGTGTGTGTGTGTGTGTGTGTGTGTGTGTGTGTTGTGGATTGAGCTTAGTGCATTAGAACTGAATGCACTAGAGTTTAGAGTGTGCTAGGCAAACTATTCCCAGCCCATGGAGACCCGCTTTCAATGTATGAATGTGCAGCACACAAACTTTCAGGCTAAACACTTAGATTCCCACATCTAACCCACCCAGGCTACAAACAAAACCAAAGTTCCATATCCCTGAGCCCACCTGGAGATTAAATGTCATCCATTATTAACATTTCAATCTATGGACATACTCATCTATTTCTGTCCCAAGGAGGTGACAGGCCCCATACTTATGAAAAGAAGGATTGGGCTTTTCCATTGACTTCTGGAGCCTGGGCCAGCTGGGTGCATCCTGGAGAGCCAGGTGGGGTCCTCAGGGTCCTGTCTCCTGAAGTTGCCTCTTATTCTCTGTGGCTCTGCAGACACTGTGAGCCCCACACTGACACAATCACAACACAGCTGTGAAGATGTTTCTCTGTGGGGTGTGTCCAGGAAGAGGTCTTGACATGTCAGGAGGTCCAGACACAAAGCAGAAGAGATTCTTGTCCCTGGGTCCCTGAGGACCTCTCCATCCAAAATCTTTCAGAATTCCCTCTGCAGCCTCCTGACCATCCCCCACTCACTATGGCATCCATGTGTTGACTTTCCCTCTCACCTCATTGTTGTCCCTAAACTTTTCTGACCCCTCCAATAGAAACCCTCTCATCTTTTATCTCAGTAATCAAAAGTGCCAAATGAAGCTCAATATGCCCTTTTGTTCCTCCAAAGCATTTTCTCTGTGTCATGGAAAGGCTGTGTCCCTCACTCCATGGACCTTGGGACTCCCCCTATATCCTGCCTCTCACCAACTTGCCTCCATGGGGCACCAGTTTTCCCAGGAAAGAAAGTCCCCTCTTTCACCCAGTGCTTTTAAGGCCAACCACAGGGCACCAAGGCCTTTAGGGTGGAAGATGAAAATTGCCATGTTGCCCATCTTGGATACTAGAGGGCAGACGAGGATAGCGGTAAGCCTGGGTGACTGGATCTCTGCAGAGGTGAAAAGACAGGGACTGGTGCATAATCCTTCCACTCTGTGCTGAAAACATTCATTGTGCTCCTGCTGCAAACATGCCCCTGTATGGTTTTCAGTTCTGAGCACGCACAGGATGCTTCCCAGAGTGGGTCCTCAGAGTGTCTTTCAGACTTTCAGTAGTTTCAATAGCTCTTTTGAAGAGCTATTTTTGGGTGGCGGGGGGTACTAGGGATTGAACTCAGGGGCACTTGACCACTGAGCCACATTGCTAAGAGCCAAGTATATGATGCATGGCATTTTTGGTCGAAAGGTGATGCCAGCTAGCCATTGAGATGATATGATTATGTTAAGATTTGCATTCATATGGATATTGGACTCCTGCTGTTCACCTAGGCCGGCTACGGGACTCCTGGAGAGTTCCCATTGGTTGGGGAAGTACAGTAGGAGGGAGTTCCGGGGGAGGGGTGCTCTCTGCGGGTCCGGGAGGAGGCCGCTTGGGTGGATCGAAAATCTTCCCGGGCGCATTTGGGACATTGGCGGCAGTTTCAAAAAATAAAGTTTGTTCCTGCTTGAGTGGCTCGTGATTTTGTGCCCAGCCAGACTGCGGCACCACATCCCTAGTCCTATTTTGTATTTTATTAGAGACAGGTCTCACTAAGTTGTTTTCCTCGCTAAATCGCTGAGGCTGGCTTTGAACTCCAGATCCTCCTACCTCCCTGAGCCACTGGGATTACAGGCATGCGACACCATGCCCAGCTTTAAGAGCTTTATTGTGGATCATTTCCATGAATTCAATTCACGCATTTGCGCTGCAAAGTTTGGTAAATTTTAGTAAATGTCGGAGATGTGTGACCAACATCACATCAGGTTTAGAATGCTTCTATAGCTTCAAAAAGTTCTCATGTGCCTATTTACAGTCCATCATCACCCTGACCTCTGCTCCCTGGCAACTGCCTAATTGTTTTCCATTGCCAAAGATTGCCTTTTCTAGAATATCATAGCAAAGGAGTCATTTGTGACTGTGTCACTTGCATAATGATTTTGAGATTCAAGTGGCATTTCTTCACTTTTATTGGGGAGT